GCGCCGCGCCTCCTGCCTTTGAACATATTAAGTTTCGTGGGACACGTTTGCTACCCTGCCCCTGCCTGCTGCCGTCCTTTGGAGCATGTTCGCCTCGCCTGCCGCGCCTCCCCACTCACCGCCCCCCGCAGGGCCAGCCGGGCCCCTTGCCAAGCCGGGCCCCTCCTGCTGCAGCCCCCGGCACTGCTGCGGACAGGTGAGCACGCAGGGCCGACCCTGCAGCGTCCATCGGCGTGAAGGGCAGCGCCTCCCCGGCTGAGGGGCAGGGCTGAGTCCTGGCGGGGGTGGGGACGTGGACAGTGAGATTTCCTGCCCCCTCTGCTCAGCACAGGCCCACGTGGCTGCACCACCCTGGCTCCCCAGCTCCAGCGTGGGGTCTGACCGTGCTGGTGTGGGGTGGGGCCGTGGGCCACAAGTGGGCACAGCCCGGGAAGCATGGGTGCACGTGGGGCTAGCGCCTGGCAGAGGCCTGGGTCTTTCCCCACACCCCATGCTCGGGCTGGGCGTGAGCCCAGTGCCACTGCATGAACATGGCGTCCCTGGGACCGCAGGCCCTGCTGCCGCTTCAGGGGAACGACCACATGTAGTTAAAGCTTATAAATATGCAAATCAGCTCATTTCCCCCCATTCCCAGCAGCAGGACACTGACAGGCCCTGCCGGGGCCCTCGCTCGCTCTGGCCACGTGGCCCCCCAGCAGCACGGCCCTGGGGGCTGCAGGCAAGGCCGGGGGCTGGGCAGGGAGACCTTGCTCCAGCCCCTTCCTCAGCTGAGCAACTGGGGAGCTTTTAAGCAATGTGACTAGCTCTAGGAGCGCCGTGGGGAGGGGGCCGGGGGCGGAGGGCTCCCCCACCCCGGCGCCTGCCCTGCTGTATATACTGTACATATGGTGGGTTTTTTTTTACAGTGATATTTGTGTCCTAGAGCGAGGTGGGGCTGGTGCCAGGGAAGCCTGGCTCTGGCGGCAGAGCCCAGGCCCGGGAGGTCCCCGAGGTTTTGCTGAGGCTGGGCCCTCGGGAGAGGGCGGTGTCCCCTCCGCAGCGCCGGGCGGCCCGGGCCAGGCCAGCGCGGGGGCTCGTTCGCTTCTCAATTTTGCTTCTTAGTCTTTTCAGGGAAAAGAGGTTCCAGACTTTTCTGGACCGCCAGGGAAGCCTGGCTCTGGCGGCAGAGCCCAGGCCCGGGAGGTCCCCGAGGTTTTGCTGAGGCTGGGCCCTCGGGAGAGGGCGGTGTCCCCTCCGCAGCGCCGGGCGGCCCGGGCCAGGCCAGCGCGGGGGCTCGTTCGCTTCTCAATTTTGCTTCTTAGTCTTTTCAGGGAAAAGAGGTTCCAGACTTTTCTGGACCTGTTTCACAGCAGATTTGAGCTTCCAATGCAAGTGCAGCCTGCTCCGGGCGGCCCTCTCGTGCTGGGCCAGCCCTGCCCCAGCCGAGGGAGCCCCTTCGCCCCCACGCCCCTGCGTAAGTCCCCTTAGCCCCGGGGAACCGGCCTGCACAGGCTGCCACGGAGGCAGCCCTGTGCCTTCTGCAGTGGGAGACGGCAGCGCAGAGCCCCCGGGCCTGCAGCACAGCTGAGAGGGGCGGGAGAAGGAAACTCCCTGGAGAAGGCCCCCAGGCCCCTTCTCCCTGCCCCCGCTGGCTCCTCCATCGCCCCTGCACCGCGCTGCCCTTGCGTGGCGCGCTCTATGGGCTGGGCCCCGCCCCAGCAGCTGCTGCTACCTCTGATACCAGCCCCCAACTTCCTGCCCACTGCCACTGCCACGAGGGAGCAGCCTCCAGCAGCCCAGCCCCGCTCCCATCACACTGGGAGGGGCGTGGGGCAGGAAGCTATGGCCCTGGCTGAAGCTTCCTCCTCACAAGCCCTCAGCTCTGCAGCTTGAGCCCCGGCTCCCCCAGAATCCCCTTGGCAGCAGGGCAGACGCAGCCCCTGCAAGCCTGCGGCTCTGCCCAAAGGAGCGATTCTCTGCCCAGCAGCCCTGGCTCTGAGCCCTGCATGGGCCGGGCACCGGCTGCTGCAGCCGCTTGCTACTAGCGGGGAGCCCTGGGCCCAGCCCCCGGCTGGAAGTCGGTGAGGGGGGCCCAGCTCTGCTGAGCGCTCCAGCCACAAGGACATTTCTCAGTGATGGCAGGTCCCTGCTTGGCTGAAGGTTCCTTATGGCTGCAGCCGGCCTGCTGCACCAGTGCTAGGCGGTGGGTGGCTGCCGCTCGGCCCCCATCAGCCCACGGCTTGGCTCTCAAACCAGGCTTCCAGGAGCACAGACCCCCTGCCGGGCTGGACTGACTCTCCTGGCTGCTGCCCGCTGCCCGCCTTTCCTGGCTCCTGCACTGCCCCCCACCCCCTCAGCAGACACCCTTCAGTCCTGGCTCCTTCCCTTTAATCAGGACTGACCAGTTCCTGTTGCCTCACGATTCCTCTGGCACCAACTCCCCGGGCACGCGCTGCCCTCTGCCCCGGAAACCCGCGTGCAGACACACGGTCGGCTCCGTGCTGCCAGGGCTCTAGCAGCGCCCCCGCCCATTACGACAGACAGCAAAAGGGGAAGGGTCCCCCCCCTTGCAGGAGCAAGCCCTAGGGGTGTGAGACTGCACTGCACGCTCGTCTCCAGCCCAGCTCTGCCTCTGCACCTCCCGTGGGCGGGCGCACCCTCCCACTGGCCCAGTTCTCAGAGCAGGTGGGGAGGTCTTGGCGCACAAGGCCTGTTTTCCCGAGAGCAGCGACCAGGAGCACGGTGCTGCTGCCTGGCCGCGTGCAAGGCTGGGGGGAGCCTGCTCAGGGAACCACGCCACAGCAGGCTCCAGCCAGCACGGGGAAAGCCCTTAGCTCTGTGCTGTGCCTACTCCCCTCCAGCAGGCAGCTGCGGCACTAGGGCCAGGCCAGGCTCACAGGCCGCAGGCGGAGGCTGCGCTGGGCAGGGGTGGACGCAGGCACCTGAACCAAAGGAAGGGTGGATATGGTTTCAGTTCCAACAGTTGCACTATAAGAGCCAAGACTCCCCGGCACGGCAGGGCTGACGCACTGGAAGGCTCCGGGCTGAGGTTGTGTTGGTTGCAAACCACTTTTCTGTGCTACATGTGCAATATATTTGTTCTGAATGTGATCACCCGTCCATTCATTACACCAACTTTATAATCACTGTTCTAGATGTTTTACATCCATTCCAATGACTTATTCCAAGTGCAATATCTCAATAGACAGTGACCCCGTATGCTTTGTGTTTTAAAGAATCTGTGTGCAGAGCAATGCAAAGACGTTTCAATTATGTAAATAAACCTGGTTGCAAACCAAAAGAAAGATTAATAGGCTTGCATTTAATTTGTGTGCGAGTGACTCAGCGTTAGGCCGCCTTGTGTTCGCTGTGGATAGTACAGGAGGACTGCCTCCTGCGTTGTTGAATGCTCCTGTTCATGCTTTACAGCTTTATTGTATTCAGTTTTTAGACTCCTGTCTGCACCAAATGCAATAAATGATTTTATTACACCCTTCACCACTTGCAGTGGGAAATTGTCACTTGGTTTTGACAGCTACAGCACATATCCAACACGTGGCTATTTTCAGGTACCAGGAAGCAGAGGGGATTGCAGGAGCAGCCACCTGGAGACACCCCCCGGCTCCTGGGAAGGAGGGCCGGCTTCAATGTAACACGCAACACCACAGTTTGCCTGTCAATTTTATTAAAAAGTCATGTCCTCTTGTAACAGCACAAAGAAAAACGCTCCACAACACAAACCATTCAGGACAGGGAGTCGCTGCTCCAGGAACTTTGCTTTCTCAACCACTTCTGCCTGCCTGCCCCAGGAAGCCCCGGGGACTCTGGAGGCTAGGGATTCCCTTTGGCACTGCAGACAGATCTAGTCAGTTTGCCCCAACGAAGCAGGCCACAAGTTAAAAATCTGCTTGGGAATCGCTGCCTGACTTTCCACAAAAGCATCCAGTGCTGCTACTAAAACGTTTGGAAACTTAAAAACATAGGAGTCCTCTCTGCACTGCCTCCCAGCCCGAGCCAGAGCCAATCCTCCTGCAGAGCGCAGACTCCCCGTCCCGCGAGCCTGCTGGACCCAATTCTGGGAGGAATAGCTGCACAGACCCAGGGGTTCTGCGGCCACGGCCCCAATGCACTGCTGGTCGGTTTGGAGCTCCCTCTCCTGGCCTGAGCAGCAGGGTTTGCCGTTACACCCAGAACAAAGCTGGAAAGTGCCTCACCTGAGTAGGGACAACAGATCCTTGCTGGCCTCACTGAGCCTCGAAGTCTTAGCCCTGCCATGGGGGGAGGGGGGGAGGGAGGTCAAGTCTTGTACATGCCTCAGGAGTTCAGCTGCTCCAGCACCACCCGGGATCTTTCCCCTCATCGGGCTCATGGGCTTCCGACCCAGGCCCAGTGCCGAGGCCACGCCCTGCAGAGGGAGGGGGTCAGGCGCAGACAGACCCACTTGGCTGTGCTAAGCTCCTTGTGACACTCTCTGCCAGCCCCACTGCCATGAAAGCCAGTGGGCTGCAAGAGCAGGAGCTGCTCTCTGAATGCAGCTCCCCGCCAGGAGGGAAAAAGGCGACACGTCCCACAGCTACCCTACCGGGCCGCGGGCTCTAGCCCTGTGGAGAAGGCGTGGCCCGGGGCAGCACAGGACCCCGGGGGAGAGGACATGCATGTGCAGGGCTAGGACAAAAGACTTAAGAGCTAGGAGGATGGGACTGGCGAAGGGGCGGGGCTCTGCAGCGAGATGCTAGTAGTGGCGCTGGTAGGAGCCCATGGGTTGGGGGGCAGAGGGCCCTGCTCGGCCCTGGGCCACTGTCTGACTCACCAGGTGGGAGAGTGCAGGGCCGCTCTGGATTAGGGTGTCCAAGGCTTTCTGCACACTGGGGTTGTCAAAGTTGATGCCTGAGGAGGACACGGGCCTCTGAGCGGCTATGTTGCTAGGGGTAGGCAGCCGATTCTGGTGCTGACCATAGTGCACCTGGGGCGGCTGAGGCGCCCCAGGCCTGGGGCCTGCATTCCTTGTGGAGCCTGGGAGCGCAGGAAGCTGAGGCACAGGGGCCTGCGTTCGCTGCTGAGCTTGGTTCAGGCCTGCAGCGCTGAGCTGCACTGCCCGGGCCTGGCTGCTGGCTACGCTAGCGTAGTTCTGGTTCTGAGTGCCCCCGGAGGCCGCCGTGGAAACCGCAGAGCTACTGTTTGCTACAGCAGCTCCTGCCGCTGCAGCTGCAGCCCCACTGTTGAAGAGGCTGAGGATTTTTGCCTGAAGCTCCTGTTGGGGATTAGTGGCGGACACTGTGACTGGGGGGGCAGAGGCCAGGGGCTGAGTGCTTGGATGAGTCTGAGCGCTTGGAAGGCTGGTCTGGCTGGTCATCGATGATCCGGAAGGCACCCCAAGAGACTGCCTCGACAGTGGAGCTGGACAGAGAAAAGAAAGGGGTGAATTCCCTGCAGGCCCATCCTAGGAGCCCCGATGGGCAGCAAGTCAACTACTGCCCTGCCGCGTGCAAGCGAAAGACAGGCCCCATCGCTTCCAAACGGTCTCTGATGCCCCCACCTGTATGAAACTGGCTTGAGTCTAAATGTGCACAAAGATGCTTTGGACAAAACACTTCCTGGAATTATCAATGTCCATGTGCCAATCTGTAGAGCCCTGGGACTGTTTCCGGTTTTAAACGTGAGCCCTCCAGGGTGCGCCACCCCCAGCCATAGGGACTGGGCGGCCAACTTCAGCCTTGTTTGTCCTAAGTCTAAGCAGTGGCTGGCCCGAGGGGTGATGTGCCCATATCACCTGGCAGTGGGATACCAGTTTGACCAGGTAATTTGCCATAAAAGACGGGGATACAGAACAAGCTTCCTGATCAGAGAGAACCTCTGAAAACAATGGGAAACTCTGTCCCTTTGTCTTCAGCTGGCCTAGGGAAGGCCTGGCACACTAGAGATCTTCTGCAAAAAGTTCTTGCACGAGAGCGTGTCCACACTGCCACGGATGCTCTTGTGCAAGAAAGTTCTGATGGCCATTCTGTGAATGGCCATCAGTTCACCTGTGCTTTTTCCGATAGGGGTTTCTCGCGCAAGAAACCCCTAGCTGTCTGTCCACACACTTGTGTAAAAAGGCTTATTCCTCGTAGAAAGAGGAATAACTTGTGCCAAAAGCCCTGCCTTCTGACGATCTACTGTACTTCTTACGCAAAAACGCATTTGCAGTGTGGCCGCTCCATGAATTTTTGTGCAAAAACTCTGCAGTGCAGACATAGCCAAAGATCCAAAGAAACAAAGAGAACTGAAAACCCACGTTCTTGGACTTGAAATCTTGCCTGAAACAAGAGCAAGTTGAGGTGAGTTTGTAAAGTGTCTTAGAACTAGCTCTGCCCGTCTCTGTTGCAATTCAGTAGCTTACTTTGAGCTGTTTTCACTTGCAAGCCAGTTAAACCCTACCCTACTGCTTGTACTTCAAGTCCCTCTGGCTTGCTATCACACCCTGCGTAAATAACTTTTACTGGGGGAACAATCAGTGTGCATCTCTCTCTTTCACTGAAAGGGCAAACAGCCTCAGGAGCTTCCTGTGTGTAAAACTCTTACTCAGAGAAAGATGGATCCATTTGGGGTTCTGGTCCCTGGGGAGGACTGGTTCCCTAGGTGCTGCGCCCCAGCACTGCATTCCCACAGAGCTGAAGTGGATCCGTTTCTGCATTGTCCTTCAGGGGCCAGCTACCCCAACTCTGCACCTTGTCTGGGGGAGACCAGAGAATCTGGTCCTACAGGACAGGGTGATGGAGAGCCCCAGGGGGTCATCTGGGACCACACCCAATCCATTTCCGTAAGTCAATTCAGTTACTCAGTTGGTGTCTGCCAGCAATCTCCCAGCGAGAACCTAACACCCCAGGTTAGACCTGACTGAACAGAGCCCCCTCAATACTCCACGGCTAAGGCGGAGCATCCTACCGCAAAGGGAGCGCCGGCAACGCCTCTGCAGTGGGCACAGCTGTACCTGCAAGACTGCGCTTTCTGCCATCAGCATCAAGCTGCCTCCCAGTACCTGGGGTTACAGGCCCCCTCTAGTCAGAAGCTCTGGGACTTCAGCTTTGCCTTCCCCAGCCCGGGATGATGATGCTCCAGGGTAACGGGGCTCAGACTCTGGTCCCCCCCCCGGGTGACGCTGTAATTTGCATTGTCATGAGGCGCCCCGGTGCAACGAAGTGGGAGAGCTCCTGCAATAGAGGCCTCTACTGGCACAGCTCAGTCTTCCAGGCATCACCCTCTCAGGCCCTGCTCATACAGCAGCTGAGCCAGCAAAGTCTGGCAGCGCAGACTCAAGGGAGCAGACAGGCTGCCTCAAAGGCCTGGTACGGTCCATATGTTGGAGCGAAGGGGACAACTTACCCTGCAGAGAGTCCGAACTTCCTCTAAGCAGTCGCTCCTTCCGCTCTCTCAGGTAATTGATGACTTTATCGGTCTCTTCTGCAGTCAGATAGCGGTTGTCTGCCAGCAGGTTCAAGAGACTCTGGATCCCAGGCGGGTGGCCCCCTCTGGCACCTTCCTCTATGGGTGGTGGGCGTTCACGTTCCTGCAGAATTGCTTCATCTGCCATCTTGGCAGCCTGCCTGGCTATTTCTTCACGCTCCTTCTCCCGGCTCTCTGCCTTGTACCGCTCATAATTCCTTGCCACCAGCACCATTGCATCAGCTTGGGGCATATTGCGATGTTCTGCACAAGGAGAGATGCTTTAACTATGTGGACCTCACTGATTTTAGGTGCAAATTTTAGCTGCTCCATCCCCTGCCCTGGGTCAGCAGGAGATTAGAGTGAAGAGGCAGGAGCAACTCTTAGTTTCCAAGACTGGGCTTGGAATCTTTTCCAGCACCACAAGCCCCAGCCCTGGTTCTAAACCAGAGGTATGCCTACTCCTGGGGGAACATCAACTCACCTAGATATCTGCCTCCTTTTACGGCAGGCTACATCAAAAGCACTGGTCAAGTCCATACAAACTATAGTTCCATACAGTGACATGTTTGTACTGCTCTATCTATGTGTTATAGAAATGTGCATGTGCCTGTCCAGCCGTGAATCAGTCTGTTCAAGAACCCCACCAAGATGGTAAGAGCCAGGACAA